CTTTAACATCATTCGCCAATTTATAAACAAGCTGCTGTCTTAAACGTAAGTATTTTCAAGCTTTTGGGCTCTCTTCTTTCCGTTGCTCCACCCAGCTCTCACAACCCCCAAAAAATTAAACTCTTAACACTTTATGTGACTGCCTGGGATTCAGAGGACAGGAAGGAACGGAAGGGTGTACCATTGTCAATGAACAAACTTGTCTCAATTTCGTTGAAGCTCATACGGTTAGGACCCTGTCTGACTAATGAAAAAAATGGGCATTTTAGAAGAAGAGAGAGCAAGTAACCAACACTCCCTTTCCAACGTAGTCACACTTATCTGACTTAGAATATTTCGTGACGGAGTACGGAAAACATACCTAATATGTCGAAATGTGTATACATGCCATATTACAACTGTTATCTACTTGAGAGGGAACGTTTGATTGAGAGGAAGCCCTCATTAATTTTTCCCAAAGTTCTCAGTGGCAAGATCTGATTGGTTTTAGGAGTATAAAATTCGCCCGTGAATAACGGTATAAACTTTGCATTAGTATACAAAGCCCATCCTTAGTTTTACACTTGTAGAGGTATCTATGGGCAACTCGAATAATGCAATTCTTAACTTGCATGATTCGGCTAATTGGATTACTTGTCCGTGAAGATGGGCGAAGGAACGCTAATCCGAGAGCTATGGGTATTCTCTCCCTTGAATTTGGAATGAACTCTCCGTGAAGCTTAATCACACGCACACCTTGAATGATAGCAGTTTGTTCATACTCACAGGAATCGAATACTTGGCGCGATATCTTTGAATTGCTCGTTGCTCACTGTGCGGATTTTGTTGAAATAAAAGCTCCTATAAACGACGATAGAATGAAAGGGTAACTCGTTAATGACAAAAACGAGAGCATAAATTTAGATTTAAAAAAAGCAGGATAAGAGACTGTGAAGGAGCACGAGTAACACCGAGGGAACACGAGTGACCACGAATGACCACGAGTAGCCACGAGTAACCCCTGATTGACTAGGAGTTACCATGAATAACCACAAGTGACCACAGTGACCACAGTGACCACAGTGACCCAGAGTGACCACGAGTGACCACGAGTGACCACGAGTGACCACGAATGACCACGAGTGACCACGAGTGACCACGAGTAACTCCGAGTGACTATGAGCGATCACGAATGACCACTACTTGCCATTAGTGACTCGTGTGATCAAGAGTAACTAGTAAGCAGTAACCAGAGGAAGGAAGTAACGGTGT